GGATTGGTCCCGCTTTTTTTTCTCGTTTCGGTGGACAGGTCCGAGACTCTCTGGACTTTGGCATCGCCGGGGTCCTTGACACGAGACGGAGTGCTGCAAATGAGTCTGTCCACAAGGGTGGAAACCCAACCATGAAAAAAAAACAAAAACATTAGCCTTCCTTTTCCGACCAAGTTTCTTGCAGGGGCGAGTAGGAGCACCCTGGAAAGATGGGAGACGAATGGGGGTACTCTGAAAAGTAAATTAAGAAGCGAGGCGGGGGTTTCTCAAAGGCATCGGTCCCCCAAAATGGCAAGGCTTTCCTTTTGGTTGGCCTTTAGCCAACCAAAAGGGGGCCTCACTACTTTGAGAAGAGGTGGCCGATGGGCGCCGTGAAAGCGGTCTGTCCAATTCTGAAAGTGGACGGGCCTTTGTCTTCCGGCGCCTTTTGGGGTGGGAAGGATGAGACAAGTGGCACTTTAGGCAGACGAGACCACCTGCTTCTCTTGCAACAAGAGCCAACCTGTTGCTTTAGAGCCCCGTTAGGGGGTGGCGGGCATTCAAGGGACCCACATTCCAGGGAAGCCTTTGACCCATGAAAGTTGGCGACATGCCCGTTACGTGGGTGAGTGCTGGAGATAAAGCAAAATTCAGTACGCTCCAAGCGTACTTGAGCCACAATCAAAACCCGGGTGCGTGAAGGTGAAAGGAGCGTCCCACCGCCGGGTGCGGGGCCCCGTGTGCCCTTGTGCACAATGGGTTATAGAACAAAGCAGACCAGGTTTTCATTGTCAGTTCAGTGCCCGGCTTTGGTTTCAAGCCATGCCCCCCCAAAAGGCGATCACCTCTTTTCGGGCTCCGGCGAGGTTGAAGGCCTATCTCTCGGGAGAGCTTCCCTTTGCAGACCCTCAACTTGTTTGGAGCTTTCCGCTTGAGATCACTCAAAGAAGGCTTCCCAGGCCGCGCTTTCGAATTTCCGTGGGAAAATCCCACCGCTCCGCCGTGAGCACTGCGGAAAGTTCCGAAGGACTGGACGCTCTCCTTATGGCCCGGCACGCTGCTGGTCTTCCCCTCCTGGCTGGGCCATTGGGCCGCGGGCCCAGCCACATGGATTGGGGGAGCCCCCCAAACCCCCCCCCCCCAAAGCCACTTTGCTGCCCCATTTCCAGGTCTTTGGGGGGAAAGATGGGGGGGGGGTTTGGGGGGTTGGGGGTCCGAGTTTGATTTTTTTTGGTGGCAACATTGGGCGCTTCCTGAGTTCCCGGACTTCAAAGGTGCACCCCCCTGGAACATACCCCTGGATGAGACAAAGATCAAGGGAAAGTTTGGGCGAATCAGCTCTTAATTAGGCTCTGTGATATTCTTTGGGGTGTGGTCTAGGGTGGGGGAAGTCTTTGATTATACTTCCTGGGAAGACCAGTATGGTGGCGAACTGAAGTGAGTTGAGGGAAACGCGGTCTCAACTCTTAAACAAGGAGTTGAATCGCACCCTGAAGCGGGGCCGGGACGTTGCTCCTGGGGTAGCGGCCTAAGAAGGGGTGGTTTCGTTTTGGTTTCTTCTTGAACGGCCCAAAACCGGATGCCCTTAAGAAGATGCCCTGAAATGTGACTTGCGCTATGTGCACAGGTTGCTTCTTGAGGATGCAAGCCGCCCAGGTCGAACCAACAAAAATGCTGAGACACGTGATGCTGAAGTACAAAGGAAGCCAGCCAGCTGGAGAGGTTGCAAACATTTCGAGGACACCCAGATGGGTATGTATGTGTCAATATAGGAATCGAAACCACAAAAAGGGTTGGGGCTTTCTTTGGGGTTCCCTTAAAGCTACTCCATTTGCTTAAGAATACACATCTTTATTCTCCAAGGTCGGTTTTAAAGGGAATCTATCACTACTGTCAAAGGGAATCTATCGCTGGACATATGGGTGTGGGTCAAAATTAAACCACCAGGGGACCGCAGGGTGTGGTCCAAGTTTCCATTTACCAGGGCAAGCCATTTTGGGCTGCCTATCTTTGACCCGCAGCCATATGTTGCAACTACCTTCGTTTCGGTTTTTGTTGAGTCGTTTCGTGCCTGCATGTTGGGTTCATATGTTTGACCCACAGCCATATTATATGTTCCCGTAACGTTTGCCCGGAACCTGGTTAGGTCGCCCCCAGTGGCGCGCCGCGGCAGCGGATGACCATTAGCTTCAACGCAGGTCCGCCGACACCCGATGATGTGTTCTCAAAAATGGATTTGGAACCCCCAGAACGGTTGTTTCCTGTTGGTGTCCTTTTAAAACCGAGGAAAAAAGGGTACTGTGAATACTCTTGACCCCGGATGAATAAGCCCCTGTTTCATTAACATGGGGGTGTCCCCGGTTTTAGTGGGGGTTGATCACTTTTTGGAGGGGAACACCCCCAGATTAATCTTCAGGGGTTTATTAATCCGGGGCCCACATTACAGCGCAACCTGAGAAAGAAACCCTGGCGCAAACAAGTTGCAAGCTTGGCTCCTGAAGCCTGGCGGCTCGATCGACCGGTTTCTGGGTTTAAGTGTTCTTAGGCTTGGGATGGCGAGCACAAAAAGGAAGCCCGAAGAGAACTTGGAAGGGCACTTTGGAAGGGAAGCCACATTGAGGGTGTCTCGGATGAATGGCCCATCCTTGGGGGCTCTTTGGGCGGATTTTGCTCGGAAAAGTCCAAACATGTGGGCCTACGAATCCCTCGTCTCTCGTCTCTGCAAGTTTTTGACGTTTTGTCTTAACGGCTTTTTAGATCATGGAGGGATGGTCACCCAAGCCTTTTCAGGGCCTGCCAGAGACTCCTTGAGTTTGGATAACTCATAGGGACTCAAACTATCAAACAATTTATATATATAGAAACATCTACTCATGACGTGTAGTCTCGGTGCTTTAAGCTGCAGAATGTTTGAAGGGATCCATTCTGGCGACCGGTGGCTTTCTTCATCCCTGCAACCCTGCATGAACGTGTGCGCGCCACTGCACCGTGACACCGTTCTACTCAAGCAGATGAACTTCTCTGTGTTAGCAAAACCACCCCAGATGACGCAGACACACATGAAAGGCTTTGTGTTGCAATGTTGGTCTCTTGAAAGATACCGTGGCCTGGGGAGTTTCTGACCTGCGGGTGCGCAAAAGGTGAAACCGTCACGGCTGGTACGCGAGAACGCACAGGGCGGCTGGGGTCAAAATGCCAAACACGTACAAATCCGCGAGTGCAGCTTGCAGTGTGATGATTTGAAGAGATTCGCTTGAAAGTTGACAGGGTCTCATGCACGAGGATCCCGATGAATTGGATTGCTCAGGGAAAATCCACTCCTTTTGGATTGCGAAGCACCCATGTGGGGGAGGGCGGGGGGGGGGGGTTTCTTTGTTCATTTTTCAATTGATTTTTCGGCTTCTTGGTTGCAAAGTAGACTCGTGTCCACGGGCGGGGGGCTCAATTTGGGAAGTGTTGAAGGAAGAAACTGTGCCAGTTTGGGTGTGCCAGGCATCAAAGGCTGACGACGAGGCCACGACCTGGTTTGTGAGCGTTGTTTTCCAGGCCAGTGTTTTTTTTCCCGCATTTGTCCGATGATGTCTCTTGTTTTTGGTACGCGGAAGCAAACACCAGGTCTTGTTCAAACATATCAGGTTTGGGAAGGGTCCTCAACAGATACATGTTGGCCATGCCAAAAGACCTTTGACCCCGGTGATTTGCTCAGCGTTCCCATGGATAGGAGTTTGGGGTTGAGAATTCCCCGCGTCCGTCCGTGAGGCACTCGCTCGGAGGGCACCCTGTGCCTGATTGGGCAGCGTTTAGCGTGAGGGTGTCGGGCACCTTTTGTTGGGGTGTGCTTCTCATGCTCACAGCGGGTCTTTGTTTTTTACACGAGCACCGCGTTTAGTCAGCTCACTGCATGTAGGCAGGCTAAAACATCAAATCGATTCAGGGAGGAGTCAAGCTTCCATGATTGCTGTGTGCTTGAGCCCGGCCACGTAGGCCAAATGTAGAGCGCCTGACTGACCCATTAGGCGACTGGGTAAGCCGCATAAAGCATCGTTGGATGTTTAACAATTGCCGTGTTGTTCAGCCAGCAGACAACTCCACTCATTTATATAAGTTCCTTTTCCCCATTTCACCGATGACATTCCATGTGTGTTATGGGGAAACCGGCTCAGGGCGGCGCAAAACTCACACACAAAGAACAAAAACCTGCGCCGGGGCGTTGCCAGGTACGTGGCAGCGGTCGCCGAAAACTTCGCCGCGGCCGCCACGTTCGGTGCCACGGAGTTTGCGGAGGCCAGGCGGATGGAGGGCGCGCGATTGCGAGGTGAGGCGGGTGCCAAAGAGGGGTGCCTCCGGCCTCGACTTGTCTCTTTTCCAGCCGTCACCTTTTGGTTGCCAGGCGAGTTTTTTTCTTCTGCTAGCATATGAGGTCACCTTTTGCCAGGTGAGTTTTTCTGCTAGCATATGAATTAGCACATGCGCCCTTGCCTAGATTGGGCAACTGGCTGGGGGAAACACCGGGGAGCCCTGTCAGCTGCTTCCGACCGAAGGTGGCCGAGGCGACGCGCTGCGCGACACGAAGCAGCGCTGAAGCAGCGGAGTGGCACGCGGAGTCGCCGGAGAAAACGGGGACCTGGCTGCGCCCCTGTCGCCTGCCTTGCTTCAAACAGGGTGTGTGTGTGTGTGTTTTTGTTTTTGAGGGGCCCTTTTGGATTAGGGCAGGAGGGCGTGAATCCTATGATGCAGATAGGATGCGGGCTGAGCCATTTCTGCTTCTTGTTTTGGCACAGCGCAACTAGTGGCCAGCTGCCGTGCTTCCGGAGGGAAGCGGACCTGGTTTCTTGACCTTCGCGATAGATCTGGAATGCCTGGGCTCCCACGAGTGCCCTCTCTTCCTTTTTTCTTGTGAGGGTGGTTTTCTGTGAAACCAACGACCAAAAACAGTGCCACCCACCCAAAAACAAGCGTGCCCTCTTTTCCTCGCGGAAATCCACCGGGGGTCGACGTGTTGACAAATCGCCGTGCCTCGCAGACCTGGCTCGTTGGCACTGGGCACAAAGGCTTCCGAGCCAAGAGGCGAACTTGAGGGAAGAAGTCGCGTCCCTCTTCCAAGCTGGCGGTTTTCCTTGTGTTTCTTTCTAGAACCTCCGCAGAACTGGTTCCCTCGAAAAGGACACCCAAAGGGGAAACAACACCCTTTGCAAGGGGAGCGTCTTGCCAAACGGGTCTGTGCACTTCGTGTTGTTGGTGGAGGGCATATTTCTTCGTTTCTGCATCGCAGTGAGGCCAACGGCCGGTTCCGTGCGATTTCTTCATCAATCTGGTCATTGAAAAGTGAAGCCATCGCGTTCGCCACGAGACTGCGTAAACAAACTTATTCTTGATGAACTGAGGGATTCTGCAACGGCACACAGGCACATGTGCATTCGACCAAGTCCAGTGATCATTTCGGCTTGGATCATGAGGCCTCGATTCATGGCAATGGAGTGGAACAGCGCAGGATCCCGGCACACTGGTAGCGGAGCTGGACCCCGCGACATTGCCTTCGCGCATAGGAGCCGCGCATGCGCCACGATGTTTGGCATCAGTGCCATCTTGGGATGGTCATCCGAAGGTACTGCGGGGAGGTGGTTCGTGCAAGCCACCCAGGTGGAGGTGGAGCAGCGCAGGCAGTCTGGCCGCGCGCTTGATGGCGCATTTCAGGAAGCGCGGCTTGGCCATGTCATGTCTGCGCAAGCTAGCAAAGTTGCCCTTGGGAAGGGGATCCCTCCCATTATGGTTTCGCTTTTTGAGAAATACGATCTGCCTTTCGGAGCTCTTTCCTACAAGGAGTTTCAGAAAGCGCTGAAGCATTCGGTGGTTGGGCGCGCGTGACAGCCCCTCCTTGGCGAGATCCCCAAAATGACAATCGTGCAGGAAATGCAGGCAGGCAGGGTGCGACTCAAGAAGATTCCTGGTGGCGTTGCCACAGGTGGTGTCCTTTCGTACTTGGTGGTCGAACTTCTGGAAGAGCATCTGGGCCGCATGACTCTCATCGGAAACTGCGACGTGTTGCGCGGAAGTCCCACGACGCCGAGATCCAGGCCACGGTTGAGGCGGAGGGCTTCAACTTTTGCATGCGCCCGCCCTGGGGTAGCAGGCGCAGGGTGTGCAAAAGACAATTTGCTGTTTGAACGTGCTGCGCGCTCAGTTTATAGCATTGTCGGCACCAACAGCAAGGGTGGCTATGTTGCCATGACACTGAAGGAGGGACCCTTTCTTGGCTTTTCTGACGTTCGTGCAGCCATCCAGGCCTTTCAGCTGGCAGTTCATCAGCTGATTTGGCAGATGCGCTCACCAAGAAGTCTGCTGAGGCTCGTCAGTCGTTGATCCAGCTTCTCAAGCAAGGTGACTGGAAGAATTCCACGATTGTAGTCTTGTGAGCGCTGCGCGCAATCAGCGACGCTCATGGCAACGCTGGACGCCCTGCTGTCTGGCAAGCTCAACCTTCGGATGCCGGCCATTCACCGACGGCTCGTTTGTATAGTTCAGAAACCCGTCCACGGCGGAGAAGATTTTGAAGCCTGTGCAACAGCACGCAGACACATGTGCGTTCGACATGTCGGCTTGGATCGTCCAAACCTTGAAACACACGGCAAGGGAGTGAAACAACTCGGCGGCCCGCGCAGCCTGGCAGTCAGCGTGCCTCGCGAGAATTCCCCCTCAGTTACGCTTTCCCCATTTCTGGTTTGGGAACTAGTTGCTTGGTTTTTTTAATAGGGAGTGTCGGAGCTAACCGTTTTCCAGAGCCCAGCATTTGGTGAATCGTTGCAAACTCCCTACCAAGAGCAAACCAGATTATCGCATGGGCTTCTGCAAGATCACTGTCACTGACCAGGCCCCTTTTCCCAGCTTGTCTGCCCGCAACAATTGGTCGTCAGGCGATGGGGAACATTTGCCGGCCGCCGCCCATGCCCTCGGTGTCTTGGCTGGAGAATCGGAAGTCGAGCGCAGTCGCCGCGCAACGAGTCCCACGAACTGAGCAGTGGACAATAAACAGTTGGACTAGTTGCCGGTCCACTCAAACAATGAAAATACCCGGGGCCCTTCAAAAGGAAGCCGCGTTTGGAAGGGGTTGCCCTGACTCTTCAGATGGTGGTTTGATTGGATGGTAAGTGGAGCATGGAATTTTCCAAGATGGTCTTCCGTGCAGCTGCATGCAACAAGGCACCCTTCTTGGTTGTCCTGTCAGAATGTTCTCCCACAAGAATGTAAATTTGGAATACGTTGTCCTCCCGCTTCAAATGAGACCAATTGACAGACGTGGCAATTAGGGTGCGAGGCTCCTCATGTTGGCTCCAACAGCCAAAGCAAAAAGGGTAAGAAGAAACGGAACAAAGGCACGCAAAAAGACGGATGTTCCCCTGCGCCCCAAAGAGGGAGGAACCCCCATTTTGGGCCAACCCCGAGCCTGCTTGCAAAGGCGCCCAAAAGATAGGGCCAGGATGATTTTGGGGCACAGTGCCCCGTTCAACGGCAATCCTTACTCCT